GATCCTTCAAAACATCAATTGTAATCTTATCACATTATGAAGCTTAAAAGAGTTAGTCAATGGATTTTACCTAAATTAGAGCCATACGTTTCGACTCTCCCATCTCTTAGATCTCTTAGGTAAATGGGGAAGCTTTGTCTCCAATGCCCTTTCTCTTGGCAATAAAAGCAAATTGACTCTTTTGGAACAGGACATGGAACTACTTCAGACATCGCCTTTCTCTTATAATCAAACTTTTCGATCATAGCATGTCTTTCGTTGCCATTGTCTATATCCATAGAGGTCTAGAAGTCAGATTCACCAATCAACTTTGCTTTTCTATTGCACCAAATTATTGCTGATTCAGCAGCAATAAGCATATAGGTGAGATCTATAAGGGTCACGTCGTAGTTCATCATATAGTACTCTCTTACCAACTCACTATATGAGTTGGGAAGTGACTGAAGAACCCAATCAACAGCCATTTCCTCAAAGACAACGGATCCCAACATTCTTAACCTATTAATGTGTGACTTCATCCCTAGGATGTGTGCACACACGGACTTTCCTTCTTTATGTTTACTTGCCAAAAGGGCTTGAGTGATCTTGAACTTTTCAAGCCTTGGATCTTGTGGGTTAGGGAGAATAATTGGGGGAGGTAGAGGAAGTGAAGCATGATTTCTTGTTCCTCGATCGAATCGTGGAATATCATCTTCATGTGGAATGCTTGTTCGACGGGATTTAAGAAGACCATAGTTGTCGAACTTTGACATCTACAAAACGGGAGAAAAACAAATTAAAGTTAGTTGATAGATTGAGTCCTTAGTAAATCACCCAAATGAAATACTAAGGCTAGGACCCAACACAATATTCTACAACTCGGGAGAGGGATGCCGTAACCCTAATTGCAGAATATTTGAAGGTAAGTGAATGACGATTCACTAATTTCCACCATGAAAAACGAAAAAGAAATTGAAGTTTTAAATCTATGAAAACTCCTAGATCCTTTGAGATTCATTGAACTTCAATGGCATGTTTAAATCTCGATATGCCCCTCTTGTTTGTGACTGGGATGCCGAGGATCACAAAGCGGGTGTGAATAACCATGCAAACTTACATGGTGCCCTCACATGTTACAGTCACCTATTCGATGTGCCGGTAAACCACACACGCTCCACCGAACTATGACAAACATTGAGTCACCCTTTGCTACCTTTGCTTAGAACCATTTAGTGTGCCGGTAAACCACACACGCTCCACTAACGTCTTCGCAAGGGCACAAAGTGTAATTTCATGGAATTGCATCAATTCACTTTTGCCTAAGTAACTAAGATTGGGAATTTTGAAAAACATTTAGTTATTTGTATTCATTATACTTATAATGGAAGGTTTCGTCCTATCCTACCCGTTCGGCTAACGACCCTCCACTAGTCAAGAGTGCGGTGGGTAAGAGTGGATACCCATTCAATCGCCATTTTATAGGCAATTTCCTTAAACACCCCTTATAGACCAGCTTCGTGAATGAGGCCTACTAACGGTAAGACTGACTTTTACTCATACATATATATAATGTTAGACTTTTAATGTTATATATAGTATAGGGTGTATTTTATACTTTTAAAATACTAGGTGGTCTAGTTTAACAATTATACTTTTAATTCAATTAAATTGTAAACCTAAACTTTTATGGATTTATTAAACTTCCTTTTAATTATACACCTTAATTAATTAATAAAACCATAAGGGTGTGATTTGAACTTTTTCAAAACAATACTAGAGTTTTAGAATTTAACATTCCTAATTAAACTTTTAATCAACTTTTAAATTCCAAAACTTGAGGGCAAGTTTTGAAACATTTCAACACATTAGGGTTTAGAATTTAAATATACATCAAAATTAAACCATTTAATCAAAATTTAAATTCCAAAACTTGAGGGCAAGTTTTGAAACCTTTTTTCAAAATATTAGGGTTTCAACTATTTAAATTTCAAAACAACAAACCTTTTGGGTTCAAATTTAAACTATAAAACCTAAAGGGCAAAATATGAAACTTTTCATAACAACAAGGATCAAATAACAAATAATCTAAATTAACAATTAATCACATAATTATCCATATTTGATTTATTTAATGATTTCTTGCAAAACAATTTATCAATTTACTCAAAATAATTAATCAATTATCACATAAGGAAACAATTATGTTATTAATTGATAAATATCTTCAATTAGATCAAAATTATAGTCAAATATATCATATAATCGGATTAATATTGATCTAACATGATAAGGTAACTATCCATAAGCAAAAACAGCAAGAAATCCCGGAATACCCTCCATCTGACGAGCCGACTCGCCGAGTCAGGCATGGACTCATCGAGTCACCTTGGACTCGGCGAGTTCATCTATGAACTCGGCGAGTCCAGCCTCCAGAAACAGAAAAATTCTAAATTTTCAAACATATTAAGCATCAATACAATAGAAACCAATCAAGGCTCTGATACCACTGATGGGTTTTGGTCATAAGTCATCCTATGTGCTCATACAAACCCTAATGCTTGGATCTAGGTTTCTCTATTGTACATGCTTTGAATCCAAGACTATAAACCCTAATTCTAGCATACGGAAATCAATATTAACATATAATTAGGTTTAAGATATTACCTTGATTGTTATGTAGCAATAACAATCCCAATTCCTCCTTGAATTGACTTTGGAAGGCTTAGAGTCACAAGTGTCACTCCTCTAATGGCTTACAAACACCATAAGCAAGTGGAGAAGGTATAAAGAGAGAGGAGAGAGGTAGGAATTCTTCCTTAGGACTTGTTGAGAAGGCTTGGACGAATTCATGAGCCTTAGGGGGTTTATATAAGTGTAAAGATTAGGGTTTTAGTCCTTATCCTTATCTAGTTGCTTGCCCACCAAGTAACCATAAGATAAGTCTTAGAAACCCTTATCCTAGTCGAATTCTAAGGCATTATCTCCTTAAATTCGTTCACCCTATATTTAAGATAATCCTTACCTTATTTTGTAACTATCACATAATTACAAATCAGCCCCTCTAGTTTAATTAATTACACTTGATCACAAAATTAATTCCTAATTAATTATTGACCAATATTAATTAAACAAATATGATTTCTCCTTTAATATATTATTCTTATAACATATTAATAAATCATAATAACCTTTCTCTCTTTATTTATTTCTCCAATCAAGTTGCTTTGGTGAAGGCAACCCAAAAGGACCATGCACCATCGGGTCAAGTACAAACCAAAATAGTTATGGACTTAGACACTAATCCAACAATGTTCCGTGCCCGTTACATTCCACGGGTTGAATGGGAGCGATTGTCACAGGAGTTTTTGAGTTTGAGACAGGATGGGGAGTCGGTGACGGAGATCACCCGGATGTTCACCGTGAGGGCGATGTTTTTCCCGGAGTTTGCTTCAAAGCAGGCTCAGATGACTCGTTATTTGAGTATGCTCAAGACGGATATCTGTCAGTTTGTGTCTACCCAGCGATGTGATTCTCTTCTAGAGTTGCAGGAGGCCGCCAGACGGCGTGAGTTGGAGATTGAGCAACAGTTGAGAGAACAGCGGCAGGCCCCAGCACATTCTCAGCCGACGTCGAAGCGGCCTAAGAACGCTGAAACTAGGACTGGGGGTCAGCCGAGCCGCACATGTAGGAAGTGTGGCAAAGGTCATTCTGGTGTGTGTCGAGCTGGTAGTGGATGCCACAAGTGTGAAAGGGAGGGGCATTACGCGAGGGACTGTCACCAGGCTGCTCCAGTTCAGAGTCTGAGGTTATGTAACCATTGTGATCAGGTTGGCCATTTGAAGGCCAACTGCCCGTTACTCGCCGCCAATCCGGCGCAGGCTCCAGCGCTGGCTACTTTGAGGATCACGCCAATCCAGTGCAGGCTCCAGCCTCCAAAGTCTCAGGGCCGTGCCTTCCAGCTTACAGCGGAGGAGGCCAGAGCAGCACCGAATGTGGTTGCTGGTATGTTTCTATCCTTATCTGGTTATTTTTATATTTGTTGCATTCTTATTTGTGGCAGCTGTGGTTAGGTACGTTTTTAGTGAACTCCTTGCCTGCTTTGGTTTTATTTGACTCGGGGGCGAGTCGGTCTTTTGTATCGCAGCCATTTAGTAGGGGGTTCAGTGCACCAGTGGGCGAGTTAGAGTTTCCGTTGCGAGTGTCTATCGCCAACGAACACGAGGTTTCTACTTCTTCAGTTTATTGAGGGTGTGACTTGGAAATTTTCGGGGTGTCATTTCCGATAGATTTGTTTCCGATTCCCATGGGGGAGGTGTGCGTGATTGTAGGCATGGATTGGCTCAGTCGATTCAGTGCCATGATCGACTGTGAGGGGCAGCGTGTGGTAGTTCGAACCCCAAGTGGGGGAGAACTGATTGTTTATGGCGAGGGCACCAGAGTGGGATCAGGGTTTTGTTCAGCTGCCAGGGCACGACAGTACCTTCAGCATCGGTGTACAGGTTATCTAGCATACGTGGTAGATACACGAGCCAGGGACCAGATTTCGATTTCCGACGTGCCGGTGGTTAGGGAATTTGCAGATGTATTCCCGGAGGAACTACCAGGGATACCTCCGGAAAGGCAGGTTGAGTTCAAGATTGATCTGGTGCCAAGTGCCGCCCCTATTGCTAAGGCACCGTACCTGTTGGCACCGCCAGAGATGCAAGAGTTGTCATCGCAGCTGCAGGAACTGCAGGGCAAGTAGTTCATTCGGCCTAGTAGTTCTCCATAGGGAGCACCGATACTTTTCGTCCGGAAAAAGGATGGTTCACACCGGATGTGTATCGACTACCGGGAGTTGAATAAGTTGACGGTGAAGAACCGTTACCCGCTCCCGAGGATA